CTTTTAAAGCCTGACCATTTCTTCCGTGTCACCTTCCCCACCCGTTCCCCGGCGGGAATTACTCCACTCCTTCTCTGTGCTGCCAGGTGCCGTGCTTTGTGCCGAAGAAATGTCTCTAATCTGTAATAGAGTTTACTTACTCATCAGCCACCTGCATTAGGCCGTGAGCACCTTAGAGGCAGTGACCATCCCTTACCTACAAATTCCCCGACAGTCCTGACGGCAGCAGGCGTAGAGGGTCAGTAAATGTGTCATGCACGAATAAGCCCGCTGATTTCTGCATAGGGGTGTGTGTGAGGAGTACAGAGAGGCAGGAGTGGTCATCAGACCAGGGCAGACAGAGAGGATGACCAAACAGCGTGTGAAAGCTGTGACAGAAGAGCTGCAGGAGGTGGAGTGGAGGGGCCACCTAACACAGGCCGGCATTAGGGTGGGCCTCTCTCTTGAATGGAAAGTTCTGGTTGTATCAGTCTATCCTTGTATCCCCAGGGACTAACACAATGCCAGGCACGTGGTAGGTATTCAGTAAGCTTTCACGGAAGGAAAGGAGGGAGGGAGGGAATGTTTTCTAATTTAAGTCCAGGTCAGTGACTTTGGACAAGACCCAGTACCTCAATCCAGATGTCGCCTGGGGTGATTCTCAGCACAGGCTGTTTTATCCCCCAGGGAGACATTTGGCAAAGTCTGCAGATCTTTTTTACTGTCACAACTGGGGGTGCTACTGACTTCAAGTGGGAAGAACCCAGAGACACTGCTAAGTATTCTGTCAATACAATATATGGGTCAAAGAACTGTCCAGACCAAAATGTGCATAGTACCACTGTTGAGAAACCCTGAAATGAACCCAGAGCTGCAGGCAGAGGTTGGAAGACTATCAGAGAGTTCTGCTTGTTCAAAGCATCCTTGATTGATTCCTAAAGTGTGGACCCCTGGGGGTCTACCCTCCATCAGTGGCTTGGCTTCCAGACCCTTCCAGAGACAGCACCCGGGGAGTGGGGAGCAGCCTCCTCCCTCCCACCCTCCTACCCTCCTTCCCGCTAACCCACGACACTTAACGGGACGGATGCTGTCTGTTGCAGGAGCTGCTCAGGGACCCTCTGTACATTGGCCTGAAGCACCGGCGCGTGCGTGGGCAGGAGTACGACGACCTTCTGGACGAGTTCATGCAGGCCGTGACGGACAAGTAAGTGGGTCAGCCTGTCCCTTGTGAAAGAGGACTGTTAAGAGATAGCATGACTAAGTCAACATGGGTTTTGGTAGAGATGCGTGCTTTTCCAGATGTCCAGAAATTCCAACTTGACGCTGTGTACTCGGAAATCTCAAAGCCAAATGGGCTTGTTCTCTGGGAGAGTCTTTGGGAGCAGAGAAGGGAGGGGAGGGGATGACGGCTAGTTAAGTATCTGCTGTCCTGGGAGGAAAACCCCCTGGGCCGAGCTCTTCTAGGTTCCTGGCAGGAATAGGGATGCTGTTAGCAGCAGGGGAGAGAAGTGTGCCCTTCTGACGGAATGGCTTGGAAGGCAGCTGGCCACCTTAGTTGTCATTTTCCAGCTCCAAGGACCAGGCAGCATCAATGGGCCACCACAACAGGCCACACGGGCTGGGCCTGCGAGATTTACGAGGTGTCGTCTCTGCAGGGGGGTGCACCACACTGACAGCTCCTGCCGCCCTGGCCTGCCCCATCTGTTTGCCATCATTGCCCCTCCGCTTCCCCCGCTGAGGCTGGGGTGACATGCTGGCTGTTCTCAAAACAGCCCCCTGCTCTCCCACGCTGAGTCTGACAGGCAAGTCAGTCAAAACTGTCTCAGCAGCTCAGCAGGCCTCTGCAGACCCAGCAGGTCCCCTTCTTGCTTGAAAACCTCCAGCCTTTCTTGCTGTCCCAAGAGTGCCCAGGTAGGCAGAGCTGGTCTGGACGTCCTTGGCAAAGTACTTCATTGTCTGAGTTCAGGCACTTGAACCAGAGCGGTGGGCCGGAGAGAGAGCTGCTGTGGCCTCTGCAGCACAGGAAGCCTCATCTGGGTGGGCTTTGGGAGTGGGCAAACCAACCCCACACTTCCAGGTCATTGACCTTGGGCAGGTTACTAAACTTTAAAGTCTCCTTACCTGGATTCCTTATCTGGGGATAAGAAGAAAGCATTTGATCGTTGTTGTGTTTTTTGTTTTCATTCGTTAGGATGAGGGAAAGTAACACTGATGTTATATGGGATGGGGATGGTCCTAGAGGAAGGATGAAATTGGTAATGGAGTGTGGGGTGTGGAGGTAGGCATGCTGATAAGCAACTGGCCAAGAATCCAGTGCACACCTGGGAGCTTCGTCTTAGGTGGGAGCACAGAGCCCATCCACACAGAGGGAAGGCCACGCTCTAGGCACAGATGCCGGCAGGTGGGTAGATGTTGAGGGGGTGTGCGTGAGAACCCCCTTGGAGGACAAGGTCATCTGCTGAGGGCGAGGATGGGGACAGAGGCTGTGGAGGTTTAAGGTGCAAGAGGTAAGAACTGGCATGTCCAAACTAGGGAACTAGAGGCTGGTTGCTGGCCTCCTGGAGGTTACTGATCACGAATTTAACTTAGGTCAGTTAAACCTTTTCTGTGATTTTCTCTAGCCAGTTTCCACTGTCTGGATGCAGGGCAGGAAGAGACAGAGAGTAGGATTTAATCAGGGTTGGGATTTTGCCAGGCAAGAGAGAGAAAGAGAGAGAAAGGAGTTGAGAGTATATTCAAGGGGATGGTTATAATGATGCATGAGGCCTAGGCCGGGTGAGAAGGGACAGCTAAGGCCCTGCTGGAGAGGAGGGGTGAGGAACAGCAGTATGAGCAATGGACAGTAGGTCCTGATGAGGCCTGAGAATGATTGAGTTGGGTACCAGAGGGAATAAGCTGGAAAGAAAAGAGTAAATCAGAAAGTCAGGGGTTGGAAGCTGAGACTGTGAAGGAAGGGCTGCTATTGAGACACGACCACCAAAACAGCCCATTCGAGGGTCGGCTACATGAACAGAGGCGTATCATCTAGAACACGAGAGGTGACTGTCCTGCTTAATTCTCCCCCTTTTAGATCATCCTGAATATGACATTCAGTTCCAGACAAGATACTCTGAGGCTGGTAAATTACCTAAAGTGCCTTTGGAGAACCATCGCCACGGCAGTGACAGGAGCCAAAGGCTCAGACTAGTGGGGAGAAGACATAGGGGCTGCTCTGTGGGTACCAGGGATGCGGTCCTCCCTCCAGAAGTCTGAAAGCTGTTCTTCCAGAGGAGGGACTGGACTTGTTTCTGTATACCCAGCCGGAGAAGAACCCATTGATAGAATGCTAAAGAAGGAGGCTTTCCGCTCAAAGTAAATCCAAGCTATCCCACAGTGCAGGGGACTCTGTGAGAACAAGTTCAAGTTCAGGTTGAGTGGCTTCTGGGGGAAGCCACCGTCACAGGAGAAAACATAAGCGTCAGTTGTCCTTTAAGATGCCTCCCTGCCCCAGTGTTCTCTTCAGACCTCTTAAGATCCCTGCGTGGCTGGCAGGATAGGTTTTATGATTCCCATTTTGTAGAAGAGGAATCTGAGGCTCTGAGAAGCCAAGGAACCTGTCCCAGGTCCCGCAGCTTCCGACAGGACGGCAAATTGACCCTGAGTCTGCTGACTCCAAGGCCAGACTGCTTTCTACAATTACCTGTGGCTGACAAGAGAAGGGAATGAATTTGGCTTTGAGAGCCGGTTCTTTCCTTCCTGTTTCCAGGGCTCATTGCGTATCTAGTGAGTCAGTAGTCATTCCGTGATTCCCCACAGAGAAGCCGTGCTATTCGTGTGAGAAGGGTAAATAAACTAGGATGTAAGAGGCTCTTCAAATCATCATCAAAATCAGCTCACAGACACACTCGCAGAGTGGGCGTCAGCCAAGAGGAGTGTGTCCTTAGCTGGAAAAGACGGGGGTTGACACTCGGTTGTTTTAACTTTCTAATAAGCTAAAGCAGATGTTTCTGTGGATACTGTAGTTGGGGAGTGAGCCAGTGTCCCAGGATCTCTTGGGAATATAGTAGCCCCGTGATGGAATGCCCGGCCGGGGCAGCGCTGGGTGAGTCAGCAACCCTGAGGCCAAACACGATGTGCTTTAAGAAAGAACCTTGGGAAACGTTGACTCCTGCCTTCAACATCCTGTCTCTTTCCAAATGTCCTGCAAATAAAAGCTCCACCTTCTTGCCCCTGCCTGCTAATCGGGTGTTATCTTAAGATTTTGGGGGCCTGAAAACAAGAGTCGCTGTAGCTCAGTTACTATCCTGGAGTTTGGCCACTGGGGAGAACCCACCGAGGCAAAAGGAATCTCCACGTGCACCTGTGAACCACAGCAGTAAGTGTGTGTGTCCAGCTCAAAGCTAAGACACAGCCTGATGTTCCCGTGGCGAAGACCAGTCATTCCGTGCTTCCTGCTTTCCCTGCCGTGCAGTGGGACCTGGAGCGTTGCCCCTGAGGGATAAGTTTTCCCTGATGGTTTCCACTTATATTTTTCATTTCTATTACTTACAGAAGAATGGATGGGAATGGTTCATTTTAAGATTGCACCTGGAGCCCCAGCTCTGTCTGATGCTTGGCCTGGGCTGGACAGAAGTTTGACGTCAGCAAACTTTAGGCAGGCCATGAGAGGAAGCCACCCCCTTTCTCTAGTTCACCAAACATAAATATAGAGATTGCTAAGCTCCTGAGATAAGAGTGATAAACAAGAAGGGAGATAATAGTTTTTTTTAAAACCTGACTTTTAAAAAAAGCATCTGCATTTTAGCTCCAGGAAAATTTCTTTTTGAGTCTCTCCATCTTTCTCTCTGATTTTCTCTCTCTCTCTCTCTCTCTCACACACACACACACACACACACACACACACACACACACACACACACACACACACACACACACACGCACGCACCATCCTACACCAGATTCCTGAGGTTTATGCCATAGTGGAACTGGCATAGTACAATTTCATCACATTCTGGTGGTTAAGGCAAATCAGAGGTGCATACCAGATTCCAAGAGAGGTGATAACACAAGGGTTGAAACACCAGGAGGCATGGTTCATTGGGGAGCCACCAAGGTAACAGATTGTCACACACCATCCAGCCTGGGAGGGGTAAGGAATGGGGCAGCCAGCATTACAGGAGGATGCGCTCTGAAAATGCAAGAAGGGCAGAGAAAACCATAGCATCATGACACGTGGAAACAGGGAGATGCGTCAAATACAACTGATAGTCAGTTATTGAGTATCTGCTGGTATATAAGACGCTGTGTCAGATGTAGGCGGAAATCCACAGAGAAATAAACAGTACAGCTCTCAACGAGCTGTTCATTCAGAGACATTTTTTATCTACCTACTGGAGTTCAGACCTGACCTCTAAGCTTTCTTGGCCTCGGAGTCTCTTTAAGAAGAATTCTAGGGAGAAAACCTAAAGTTGGGAGTTATCAGTTCATAGATGGTAGGTAAGGTCAAGGGCATGGTGGGGTTCACCTAGGGAAAGAGAGTAGAGAAAGAAGAGAGAATGGCTCACCACCGTTTTTGGAACCATGCCCTGTGAATAACTGCAACTTAAAGTGCTCAACAAAATTTAGGATTAGACTAGGATGTTGTTGGTAGAAATGGCAAGGAGGGTAAAAGGTTTGGTTCCTCGTACCAGCTCTGATTGCTAGGATCCTAAGGCCTCTCTAGGTGCAACAGGAAATGATGATTGATTAGCAATGTCTGCCCTGCAGGGGAGTGAAGCGTGGCAGCATATGTGCCATGCTTTAGCCATCCTGGATCTGTGAAGAGCCTATGGCCTAAGCATCTGCAACTTCATGAGCCCTCACCCTCACCGGTCCTCCTGCAACTTCTACAGTCAGCAGAAACTCAGAGGCCAAAGGAACCTGAAGGCTGAAGATTTCTCATAGCTAGGTGTTCAGGATATTTCAAGAGCTACACCAAGCCTGTCTGTTGGGTCCACATGAAACTGCATCTCCTTCTGAGCTACAGAAACAGGCAGGAATATGCTCCCAGGGGTACACTCCACCCTCACGCCCACCCCAGTCCACTCTGGAACAAAGCAGTGGATCAAATAAGCATAAGCATATGAGTACGGACCTGTGGTTCCCAAACATGGCTGGTATTGGGCTCCTCCGGGGAGTTATCAAGAATATAGACTCCAGCCTCCTGTGCCGTAGTAGGCCTGGACTGAGGCCTGGGCATCTCTGCTTTTGAAGCTTTCTTGATGCTTCTGTTAGAGCCACACAAAGGTTGAGATCTAAAAAGCTCAGATGGACTACATTCCCAGTAGAGGCATGTTTTGAGCAGCCCCAGCTCCCCCTACTTTCAGAGTCAGACTGGAGCCTGAGGCAAGGGTTAAGGACCAATACACATCATATACAATTGATAGTCAGTATTGAGAGGCTTTCCACACATCTTCCCACCAGGGACCTGCATGAAGAAAGGCCCAGCACCTTCTCTGGGCTCACCCTCCCAGGCAGTCTATCTTGACAACACACCTGCAGCTCTAACAGTTTCCTTCTGGTCTGAAAACCCCGCAGGCCGGGCTGTGCCTGCTGCTTCTGCTGGTGTCCCCTTCACCCTGGAGGAACTTGAACTGCTTTCAGGCCTGACGTGATTGCATTTCCACATATGGGGAAAGCACACACACGCACATCTGGGCACCCCTTCCCAGAAGACTCGTCATGGGGAGGAATCAGGCCCACCTTTCCCCACCAGCTAGGTGCAAGCTCAAGCCTGATCCCCCGGCCTCAAGCCTTGACTCTGTGAGGGCTGACGAGCGTGGAAGAGGGAGATGGCAAATGCATTGGTAAGGTAAAGGCAGTCATGACTGCCTCATTCAGGGGGTTTCTTACAAAATGCTTCCCATGGAAATACAGAAAGTCACATCACCCTCCCAACAAATATATATATATACATATATATATATATTTTGGAATTTGACTTTTCAAACTCGTTCCATGAGGGAATATATTTTTCTGGCAAAGAGACGGGAGCAGCAGGTACTGCATCAAGTGTTCCTGGGAACTGAGCTTTATTTCACCACTGAGGTGAGAAAACTCATTCTAGAAGCTCCAAGAAAGCTAAGAGCAGCACAAACAATGTATCTAGTCATGCTTTTCCAGGGCTTTTGAGTAAGGACTACGTGCCCAGCACTCTACTAAGCCCTGTAATGAGATTCAAAAGAAATAAGACATGCCCTGTGTCCTCATGAATCTTACAGACCTTCCCAAAAGACAACATTTTGAACAGGAACTAATTAGAGAAGTGTTAAGTACTCAACTGTTTGGTGTTGACTTTCAGTTCAGTGGAAATTCAGAGAAAGAAGCAATCAGGGATCACTGGGAAGAGATGGAAAGTAAACAGATTCAGGGCCAAATGTGATTAAGCAACAGGAGAAAGCACATTCCATATGGATGATACATCATGAGAAAAGCAAGGACACAGCAAAGGCAAGGACAAGGCAAGGAGTACACAAAAGACTCTGGAAGACTGGTCCCACTAGAGGTGAATGTTTATTGGTTCCAAAAAAGGTTAAGTAGCAATAGAGCAGGCTATGTGATGGGCCTCGAAACCCAGGCAGAAGGTTGCAATTATTAGAGCTCAAAAGTGGAAAGGGCTTCAGTTATCTAATCCAGTGGTTTTAAACCAAGTTTCCCCGAACCCCAGGCATTTACAGAGGTGCATCAGGAGTGCTAGAAATGAATATTTGCCACCAACCATACAAGATTGAAACCACTTGAAGGAAAACATCATTGTTTTTAATCGCTTTCTGTGTCAGGGTTCTGCTCAAGATTTCATTAGTTAAAAAATTCTTCTACTAAAAATGTTTGAAAACTATCAATCCACACAAAACCTTATTTGGGACTTGATTCAGAGAACAATAGGGAGCCATGGTAGGTTCTTGAACAACAAAGTATTGAAATTGACAGGACGTGGGAGAAGATTAGAACAGCAGCCATAGCAATGCCCCAACTCAAATTCTGCCCTCCCCAGAGAGGTCTGCCCTGACCAGCCTGTCCTGAAACTCTCTTGCTGTTTGTAGTTGTAGCATAATTTATTGGCTGTATAATTCATTTGCTAATTAATCATGCACTGCATCACGGCATCTTTTCTATAATGGTCTAGAGCTTTTCTTTAAAGCTTTTTTGGTCTTTTAACTTTTCATCGTCAGAGCAGAGACTGGGCAAAGATGTGTCTGGACTATTGTAGAGAGGTTCAAGTATCAGCCTGGCCCAGACTAGATGGACTTTGAAGAACATTCCTTCCTCAGGTCCTGTAACTCTGTAACATCTCTACCAGACTGGTAGTTCCTGGGGGGCAGGGAGCATGATTTTACTCATGGTGGACCCACCGTAAATAGTAAGGGTGGGAGTTGGATGGTTGGTTGGTTGGTTGGGTTGGTTGGCTGAGGGATTGAAAGCCTTCACCAGGCTAGTTATCAGTTAGAATGGACTGAAGGTTATGAATTTGATGGCATCTGAGGAAGGTCAGAGGAAGGAATGTTGAGACCCATTCTAGCTTGTCTGGCCTCTGAAAAAACATCAGTTTCCCAGTCTCAGCCTGACGTGGCTAATTGTTGACAGTCCAGCTCCTACGTGTTCCCATCGGAATAGGAGCCAGATGCTGCAAAATGACAGTCTCTCGTGCCTGTGAAGACTCTATCTTGGGTCACAGAAAGGGCTGGAAGGCTGTAGAAAAACACAAACCAGCACCCAACTCTCCAGGACCTATTTGTTTGCATCGTGACCAAGCAGACTGAATAATTGAGAGGCCAAATGTGATGGAGGAAGTTCACTAACTGGGGAGATGGATTCAGTGATGCCAGCTGGCTGTTTCCATTTCATTTTTCCCCAAGAGGCAGAGTAGGAACAAAATCATGCCCAGACCTGAAAGTTTCATATTACAGCAGAGGAGAGGGAGGGATAGAAGGGTTTTTCCCCCTGATTTTTCTCAATGGATTAATAGTAATAATAATAACAACTCTTTTTTACTTAATTGCCTGCTATGCACAGACTCTAATATAAGTGCTTCATACAGCATTAATTCACTTAATTCTCACAGCAACCCTCTGGGGTGGGTACTATTATTAGCTTCATTTTAAGGGATGAGGAAACTGAAGCTTATAAGGTGTAAGTAACCCCCCTAAGAACGAGAACCCTATTAAGACCCCACCCACTAGCAACAGTTGTTAGAAGCACAAACTCTAGAGCTACACTGCCTGAGTTTGAACCTCTCATCTGCCACTTATTTTTTTTTTTAACATCTTTATTGGGGTATAATTGCCTTACAATGGTGTGTTAGTTTCTGCTTTATAACAAAGTGAATCAGTTACACATATACATACGTTCCCATATCTCTTCCCTCTTGCGTCTCCCTCCCTCCCACCCTCCCCATCCCACCCCTCCAGGTGGCCACAAAGCACCGAGCTGATCTCCCTGTGCTATGCGGCTGCTTCCCACTAGCTATCTACCTTACGTTTGGTAGTGTATATATGTACATGCCTCTCTCTCGCTTTGTCACAGCTCACCCTTCCTCCTCCCCATATCCTCAAGTCCGTTCTCCAGTATCACCTGCCACTTATTAACAAGCTATTTAATTTTCTGTGCCTCGGTGTCCTCATTTCCAAGATGCATTTTTAATATTTAACTTGTAGATTGTTTCTGCTAAATAAATGAGACAATCCATGTAAGATGCTTACCATTATACCTGAGTAAGAGTAAACATGAATGTTTGCTATTATTAATAATAATGATAACTTAGGCAGTTTCCAAAGCCACTGTCGTTTAAGCAGTGCTTTAGTACTGCCTCCATTCATGCAATCAGTTAAATTAGCCATTAATATATTCATCTTTTCCTTCCATAGTCCCCCACCTATCCATCCCTGCCATTCCAATAATAGCGTCCTTCTCTTACTCAATTCTTCTTCCCTGGTGCTAATCTGAAGAAATAAAAAGAACCGTTCTGGAAGCACTGGGTGTGATCCATCTCCACGTTCAGGTCCCGGGTTTGTACAATTAGTAAATGTTTGGTCCTTGCCCTCTACACCTATTCAGTTAAATTCTGCCCACCACCACCCACCCCCAAGTGGGGAGACATTGTGTGTATCCATGCGGGGGGGAGATCTCATATTTTCTGTAGTTGTTTCAGAT